TTTGAGTGCCTCACAAACTCTCCAATGATCATAGTTTCCAATATGTGAATGTTGCTTCGTCTCTCCTGCCGCGTAATGCGCATGAATCATTTATGGACAGAATTGTCACCGGTGATGAAAAATGGATTCTCTATGCAAATATTAAACACCAAAAACAATGGCTCAGTCCTAAACAAAAAACCACTTCCAACCCAAAAACATGTACTCCCTCTGCAGAAAGAGATGCTTTGCATTTGGTGGGGCATCAAAGGAGTAATTCATTTTGAACTCCTCAATCCACAGCAAAGTGTCAATGCAGAGATCTATAGTCAGCAACTGGAACATTTAAATCAAGCCCTTCATCAGAAACGGCCATCACTCATCAGTCAGAAAGATGTTCTTCTCCACGACAATGCACGTCCACATGTGGCACGTTTGACGCAACACAAGATTGTGGAGTTGGGTTGGGAAGTTCTCCCCCCACCCATCATATTCTTCAGATATGACACCATCAGATTACCATTTTTTTCTTTTGCTGCAACACCATCTTAATGGGAAAATGTATGCTAATGTGGAAGGTGTTAAAGAGGACATCATCATGATTTTTGCTTCAAAGCCAAGTGAATTCTTTAATCAGGGCATTAACAACCTGATTGTAAGATAGAAAAGCATCATCGATAAGAATGGAAGCTATTTGATTTAATAAATGTTTTGTTTTGATACATAAGCATCATCGATAAGAATGTTTTGTTTTGATATACAAGTTGTTTGGATTTTTTCATCTAAAAAAAAAGTTACATTAATATTTTGATGACCTAATATGTTTGAATTTTTTTCAAGATGCTTTGTTCATTATCTAAACTACAACCTGTATAGTAACTAAAACAAACAGCATTACTATTCTGAACAAAACATTTTTCAGCTTATGGTAAACCTAATTTTTACTGTTTTATACATATATCCATGTGTATTCACATAAACCTTTGTTTTTAATTAAAAGTTAAGGATCACTGTAATTGCACACAAATTACCTTCTCATTGGAGTCTACAGAGTTTACTGAAAAATCAGAGAATACATAAGTAGAATTATGAACATAGTTCAGAAGCTCTTTATAAAGTTTATGATGTTTAAGAACTGTTGATGTCATAATGTAGAGTTGACACACAAAAGGTTTATTAAACCTACATTTTCATTTGTGTTGACTTTCAATTATTCACTCATGCATTAAAAGATAAACAGATTATTAAATCAGTCATATTTCAGAATAAAAAAAATGAAATAACTTAGACGAGCAACATATTAAGCTTTTAGCCTCAGATGATATGTTTAGAATCAGATAAGAAGAAAATCCTTACACAAGCTCTATTTATGTATTCTATTTGGTGCTGTAAATAATCCAAATTTCTAAACTTTTGTATCCACTACTTGCCTCATATGGTATAGCCAAGCAAGCAAACTTAAACTGTAATCAAATTTAAAGCATAACATGCAACTATCTGAGTAACCATGAGACCCCTAATTTAGACCTTCATAAAAATATTTTACTTAATAGGTTCAATAAAACTGGCATTCATCTAGAAGTTATTTCCTTAGTTTATCACCAACTCCCTGTTATGGCCATTGGAACAGAAATTACACCCAAGTATATAGTCTCATAAGTATTATTCATGCTGCCAAATGGATACTAAGGTAGCAATGAGACAATGAATGCTATCACAGGATCTTTTATTCTCAACGTTTCGACTACGAGTCTCCTTCAGGAGATTATGACACTGTGATACCTTACAAGGGTATTTATACAAATTTTCCCACATTAAGTTCTTGGTCACTTCACCTTGCTACACCTTGATTGGTCCACTATCACCATCTCTCGACCATCACCTGACCAATCAGCGTTCTGCTGTTGTTTCACCAGGCTTGCAGCTGCTTCCACCCACTTAAAAATTCCCACTGTGGTGTTTAAGTTACTTTTACTTGAACCTTTACCTAAGTTGAAGGACTAATACATATTTAAGACCTTTTGATACCCAGTTAATGAGGATGTCATAACTACGTGCAGAACACCTGCACAAAACTTTAGAAAAATTACCTGAATACACCTGACTATAGATACATCCTATTTTACTTATGGAAGATGTGGATCATTGGAATACTTTCTAATTGTTTCCACATTTTAGTAAGTTATCAAAATTTAACAATAGTGGTTATGTAAAATTAATTCATAACAATGTATTGTTGAGAATTCAAACAAAATTTTTGCAAAAACCACGAAATTTAACTTTTTTTGTGAGACTCAAACTGTTAATATTAGAAAAAAAAATGTTTTAAACATGAAAATAATTATTTTCTGTTACCATCTACTTTTATTATTGAGAATTAAACAACATTGCTATGAAAACACATTTCATACAAAAATCAAAACATGACTGAGTTACTTTTTATCACTAATTTACCTAAATTTTAAATTTAACTTTAGAATTACCAATGGAGTATGTGTATTTACCATCAACTTTATAAACACATTTCAAAGCTATTTACACCATTACTAATAACCTTTAGCTTCCTCTCATCAAACCAGTTTCAAGTTATAATTTTCCTACATGAAAATGTAGTTCCGATAGGTACTTACATTTACATATGCCACAAGCCTTCTAACTCCCTTTCATTGTAATCGACTGATTCCAATGTGTTTCTCATGCAAATCATCATGTGTCAACTCTCCACCAATAGCAGTGTGACATACTCTCATGACACATGTGACTCCCTCTATTCCCTTCTACCTAACTATCACTTCAACTTTTGGCAGAAGATGGAAGCACCCATTTTCAGAGGTGAGGAAGGGTGAGAGGAGGTAAGTACCTATCAGAAATATATTTTCAGTGTAGGAAAATTATAACTTCCGATACAGTACCTTACATCTTCTCACATAACTAGCTAGAATCCCACATTGAATAGGTGGAGAGAATTGTGCAAGGGAAAGAAAGAAGCACCTTTCAAAAGATGAGACATTCAGATTCTAAGATTTGATGTGGGAAACCACACCACTTCTGAACCAGGTATACTCTTTGCCCATCTTAGAAAGATTTTGCATATATGGGTGGAAGAACAGAGGAGCACATTCAACTGGGAGAGAACTATGGCCGGAAAGTGTTCTGAACCATGAAATATTTATTAAACTCAATCCCAGAAATGATAAAAGTGGGTAAAAGGAAAAGGATGTGCCCCTAGGTGTAGAGTGGCTAGGGCACGACGGACTGTACACAGCAAGTCAACTACATCCAAAACCCTTGCCACTGGGAACCAACATCCATGCAGGGGTAGGATGAGGATCATACCCTCGGTAAGTCAACTACAATCCAAAACCCAGGCCACCAGGAACTAACATCCATGTGGGGGTAAGATAGAGGATCATACCACTGATAAATTGACTACAATCCAAAACCCAGGCCACCAGGAACTAACATCCATGTGGGGGTAAGATAGAGGATCATACCACTGATAAATTGACTACAATCCAAAACCCAGGCCACCAGGAACTAACATCCATGTGTGGGGCAGGAAAGAGGATCATACCAGTGGCAAGTCAATTACAAAATCCAGCCATATGGTGGTAGTAGGAAAGAGGATCATATCATCTTCACCTCAAGTTCATGAGACTGGAGGGAAACTAGTTCCTCCCAATTCATGAACGGTGCACATGTGAATATGATAAATTAATAGATCAATCTGGGAACCTAACATCCAGTGTTGAAAAGATGTCTACATAAAGTAAACTATCTCCCTGAAATGCAAAATTGACCAAAACCACCCCAAACACATGAACATCCTTGAAAGAGTTAGTATTGAGGGACAGTGGAAGGGAAAGAACCATAACAATCTGCAATGACCTCCACCATGACCCACAACACTGATGGAGCATAAAAGATAGACATAACTAATACATGTTATGTTGATTGGTTCTACTGACATCCATGTGGGGGGTAGGATGATAGATCCCAATCAAAGGGGTGAATTGCAATTTCACATCTTACTACCCCGTGTTCTTATGAGTCATACAGGAGGACATTATATCATCTACACCAGCAGAACACCACCAGCCTACTCTCAACTGAATGGTTTGATAATCATTTCTGTTTTGTGTTTGTATTTCATTAACCCATGCAGGAGGATGCCTCCTGGTCCACCACTCAAGTGGCTTGGATCTAGAA